GGGAGGGAGACGGGAAGAGACTGAGATGACGAGGACATGAAGGAGGACGGGGGGGGAAGAATGACGGTCAGTCTGGTGCCCCTTGCGGGCGGGATCACATGCTGCGGGGACAGCGTCCTGAGGGGTGTTGGGAGGAGACCCCTGCGCTGCGAGACATTGCTGGGGAGGAGGAGGAGGAGGAGGAGGAGGAGAAGGAGGAGGAGGAGGAGGATGAGGAGGAGGAGGAGGAGGAGCAGGAGCAGGAGCAGGGGTAGACGAGCGTAGCAGAGGAGGAGGGTGAAGGAGATGGAGGCGAGGGGGACTAGGAAGACGTTGATACCTCGAATGTGGTGGCTTTGTCGATGCGGCCGACTCCCGAAACCATGTATTCAAAAACGACGACGTCTCACGCTTACCTCCGCCACCTTCTGCCGACCTTTCGCAGGCTGCCGCCGGCGGATCTGCCGCCTGTGTACTTCCGCCGCCCTGCGCCAGCCTTTCACTGGTTCCCGCCGAGGAAACGATGCACGGGAGTCAAAGCCCTCTCTGGAACGACAACATGGGGCCTCCAAGTGTCCCGACACCTGCTGCGGGGCTTGTGTTCCATCTTGGCTCGTCAATGTGGAGTCCGCGCGGCCCGAAACGGACCTCCTCTGGAGGCAGAAACCGATCATCAATGTGGCATTCGAAAACCACGACGCTGGAGGTCTGGGGAGGAAGAGGAAGGCGACGTCGTAACATGTATTAAAAGAGGAGCAGGAGATAGGAACGGCCATCCTGGTGACCACACGACTGAGTGGAACACGCTTTGTCCTTGGAGCTAATCTCCAACGGCGCGGACAACCCCGAATGTGAGACTGGCACAGGATCGAGTGGGCGGCTTGGTTGCCGAACGCCAGCCTGGGAGGAGAGAGGCGGGAGGAGGAGGAGGAGGAGGAGGAGGAGCAGGAGGAGACAAGCCAGCTGGCGGGAGCCACGAACTTGCCCAGGAAGATATGAGCTTGCCCTACGGTGACGTCGGAGGCCTGAGCAGGAGGAGGTGCCGTGCAGGGCGGAGGAGAAGGACTTCCGGCAGCGGCGGGGGTCCGCCAGCGCCGCGAGCGCCAGGACGCGCGCAGTCTCGTGCGCTATGAAGACATTGGCCCTCTCCACCTGGAGCGGGTTCGTGGTCGTCGTCGCCTTCGTCAATGAGGGGTTGACGTGTTTGGGCGTTCTCGGGCCGTTCGAAGCCGCCAGGAGGGAGAGCGAGGAGCAATCACAAGACAGCTCGCCGTTTGGGCCCCGCGGCCAGCCCAAACAGCGAGCATAGATCGGGCGTAGCCCCGCACGCAGTCCCAAGTCCAGACAGTCAGGGCCACGTCGGCGTGGTCGTAGTCGCCTCAAACGTGCGTTCCATGGCAATTAAATCGATGTCTCGTGGGCCAGCGCAAAGACAGGGGTACACACCTCCCTGAGCACGCACGGGGCCGCAGAGATTCAAACGGACGCCGATTGGGTGCGCCATAGGTTTCGCTCTCAGCCATTGGTTGCGACATAAGTTGCGCCCTCGGCAGCCAAAAATGTAACCGTCTCCTACTGGCTGCGCCATAGGTTGCGCCCTCGGACGCCGAGAACAAAACCGCCGCCGATTGGCTGCGCAATAGGTTGCGGCCTCAGCCGCCGAGAACAAAACCGTCGGGTGCGACCAATCAGTCCAGTTCAGGCCAGTTATTCGGAGTTCACCTCGCGAGAATCAGATTCGGGCTGCGCCCGAAGACAACAAAGGTCTCTTCCGCCGAGTCTCAAGGGGGGAGCCATGATGGAGAGGGAGGGGTATGGGAGGGGGAGAGAAGAGACTGGGATCATGTTGCCGCCATCGTACTTAAGGACCACATCCCAGAAATAATGTCGAGCACCTGGAAAAGTGTCGAAACAGTGCCGAAACAGTGTCGAACGAGTGCCCTCCAGGGCCCGACAAGTGAAAACTCTCGAGTTTCGGTACTTTCGTGGTGCTCGGAATCTTCCTGGTGATTCAGGCTAAAGTTGATTGGAACATCATCAGACTGGGGCTGCTGAAATGCTGGCGACTGACCTGATAAACTCCATCGATCGGCCCCTTCGCATCTCGAGGGGAGAGCGGTCCTGCTGCGACGCATGCGGCTGAACTCATCTTGATATCGCTCGGACGCCCAACGCCAGTGCATTGTTCGGCTTCGTGCGTGCCTTCTTCTCTCCCGCAGGATGGCCGAATATGCTCCTCGACGGTCCTCGCATCGTAAAAGTGCACACGCAAGAGCGATGCCAAGTGATCCAATTACGCCCGCTGGCTCCACAAGCTTTGAGGGAGCGAGGAAGGAGTGGAATGGACGTGGTCCTGCTACGACGCCTACGATTTAATTAATGAACGTGTTCTGTTTCAACGGCAACCAACTCTGCGCAGCCTCTGGGCGATGACAATGGGTTTTCCGTCGAGGCGGTCTTTGATTGGCCGACGGCCCGCGAAGGTGACAAGCGCGCCATGCACCGCTGGCGGACAGCCTAACATAACCAAGGTGCCCGTGGCAGTACGGCGAGCGGACCCGAGAAGCGGCGCGTGGACCTCAGGAACGAGGACGACAACGAAGAGGATGAAGAGGACGAAGACAGAGGCACGATGAGGAGGAGGATGCTTTGGGCGTGGCTTAATGGGGGGGTCACAAATGAGGGGGTCAGAAAAAGTCCCCTTTCGTGCCCCTTTCGGGCCCCTCCAGAGCCCCAGGGGGCTCGTTTAGGTACCGTTTGGGTACCTTTTCGGACCACCCTCGCCGCCCCCCCATTTATGATCCCCCCGTTACACAACGCCCAAAAGCTATGGACTGCGTGGACCCCGGAAACGGCAGGGCCGTTTTTTTCACCGTTTCCGAAAAAGTGTCCCCTGAAAATGGAAGCGGCAAAGAAACGGCGACCAGAAACGGCAAACAAACAGCTCCAGGAGTGGAACCGGAGCCGGAACCGGTCAAACAACGGCGACGGAACCGATAAAAAACGGCGTCGGAACCGGCAAAAAAACGGCAAACTGAACGGGTAACAAAACGGCCCTGTCGTTTCCAGGGCCCACTAAGGCTGTGGACTACATGGTTTGCGATAACGGTCACCTGCAGCAGTGTGTTGCCCTGCAGGCTTCGCGGCGGACCCCAAGAGACGCAACGGCGCTCACCTGCGGCGCCGGAGCTGAAGCCCGCCGACCCCTGCCCGCCAGGCGCCGAGGTGGCGTCTGAGATAATTGGCTGCTCCATCTGACCCCCGAAGTCCCGAGCCCTGCTTGATAGACAGTGGGGACTGATCTTCCCAGAGATCAGAATTACTTATGTAGAGTATCCTCAGCGCGGGACAACCCAGAGACGCGATCCTTTTCCCCAGGGCCGACTGGGGCCTGGGCAGGGCACCCAAAGGCCAAAAGCTAAAACAAAAAAATGTTGTTGTTTGCATGCGCTGGAGGTCTAAGTGCCATTCGCGGTGCCATTTTGGATCTTGGAGCTTCTTTGGGCTTCTCGGGGGCACGTGGGGGCCAGTGAGCAGGCCATCGTGGTCGATCGTGGGGACACCGTGGAAGGTCCAGGGTCACCGTGGACTCCCGCATTGATTATTTCACAGACGTTACAGGGATGGAGGGATCACGCAGGCTCTCTAAGTGCTCGCAGGGAGACCCTCAAAAGAGCCCCCGGTTGTCCGGTTGCCCCCGGACATCGCACGGTGTCCAGGGGTAGACCACGATGACGATGACCTGCACTCTGGACCCCCACGTGCTCACAAGAAGCCCGCAGAACCTCCAAGGTGGCACCGCGGATGGCACCGACGACCATGGACGGCGGTTACGGCGGCGGCAGTGCGGAGGAAACGGGTAAGGAGGAAGAGGAGGAGGAGGAGGAGGAGGAGGAGGAGGAGGAGGAGGAGGAGGAGGAGGGGGAGAAGGAGGAGGAGGAGGAGGAGGAGGAGGAGGAGGAGGAGGGGAAGGAGGGGGGGGAGAGGAGGAGGAGTAGGAGGAAGAGGAGGAGGAGGAGGAGGAGCAGGACGAGGAGGAAAATGAGGAGGAGGAGGAACGAGGAAAAGAGAGGATGAGAAGGAGGAGGATGTAGGAGAAAGAGGATAACGAACAAGAAAGAGAAAAGGGAGGAGGAGGAGGAAGAGGAGGTGGTGGTGGTGGTGGTGGCATGCTATAAGAGATGGGGGCCATCCAGCATGACATACTACTCTAAACGCAGCAGCGGAGCGAGAGGGCAGGAACTCAGGCAAGGACGACGACAAAGTAAACCTCGTTCAAGAAGATATCACATACGCTAGCACGATTCTTGGATTCTCCCAATCTCCACAAATGTACTCCTCCTCGGTTCTGCTCTGTGGCGGCTGTAGATGAGGAGCAAAACCCCTCTCAAATGCAACCTCGGTTCTGCTATGTGAAGCTGAAGGTGAGGAACAAAACGCCTCTCAAATGCAACCACGGTTCTGCTCGTGCGGCTGTAGATGAGGATCAAAACGCCTATCAAATGCGACCTCGGTTCTGCGCTGTGAAGCTGTAGGTGAGGAACAAAACGCCTCTCAAATGCAACCTCGGTTCTGCACTGTGAAGCTGTAGGTGAGGAACAAAACGCCTCTCAAATGCAACCTCGGTTCTGCTCTGTGAAGCTGTAGGTGAGGAACAAAACGCCTCTCAAATGCAACCTCGGTTCTGGTTAGCGAAGCTGTAGGTGAGGAACAAAACGCCTCCCGAATGCAACCTCGGTTCTGCTCGGTGAAGCTGTAGGTAAGCCTCAAACACTAGCACGATCTTTAGATTCCCCCAGCCGCCAAAGGATGTACTCCTCCTCATACGCCTTCCACGCATATCTATCTAGAGCCAATTCCATCCAGTGAATACCTCGAGGATAATAGAATCTAGTCAATTGGTATTCCCAGACACACTGCCACGAAAACTTCTGAAAACCTTGTTTCTCACCTTCCCTTTGTTCAGTTCCAGCGTGTTGGTGAGAATTCCAGTTCAGAACATAACCCAGAATAGAATCAGGATTCTGATGAGCTTTACGTGCGATATGGCCAGCATACCTATGAAGACGACGCCATACTATTACATCTAGGTCCTGGATGTGCTCAGCAATCTTGATTTTCTTAATCTGCGACCTGACCGACCGAGAATACGATTCATCAGTTTCTTCTGGTAGACGAGGCCAGCGTATGTGACGAGCAAATTGTTTTGTCTGAGCCGCTCGCAAAGCCAGTGCCGCGCGTCGGCATAGATTCCAGACTGGTGAACACCATAAGCACGAAGAAGATACCGTACGGTGAATCAAGCGAAATCTAGATATACGAGTGCTTGACGGACTGGAAAGTAAGTGCTGAACAAATCCCACCACTGATGTAGCCGTGAGCGTTTTAGTGCGAACATCTTGATCAAGTTGTCCACGAGCGTTCATCCACATGCCAGTGATCTTCATCGCCTTATCATGCGGGATAATCTCAACAGCAGGCCATATCTTGGACCAATGATGTTTTTTCCTTGGTATTGTTCACCAAGAGCGCGATGCGATCTTCAGGAAGGTCCCAGCCATAAAGAACAAGTGCTGCACGACATCTCTTTCATATCTCACGCGCATCCACGATACTGTTGGCCAGTATGAACAGATTGTCACTCCAAACCAAGAAGGGAATAAACTTGAAATTGCACATTCTGCACCACCTGGAATAATGATGACCACAGTAAGCAACATCCAGCATCGCAATGCCAAGTCGATCCGCCACACACTTCTGCCATACTGGGTGTAGACAATCAGTAAGCACCATTTTGAAGAAAGCCGGCCCCCAAGCAGACCCTTGAGGAACGCCGCGGGTAATGGGTGACGTGGTAGCCGTGTCACCCACCAAGTGAACATTATATCGAATAGATCGTAAGTGTCTGAGAAACCAAGCAGCAATAAAATCTGGTACACCTCGCCTTTGAAGGGATTGAAGCACGCCAAGATGGCATACAAAATCAAAAGCCTTAGGAATATCAGCAGAACCAGCAACAAAACCAAGTCCCCCTTGCATACACTTCTGAGCCATCACCATAATAATGAACACCATGTCCATGACGCTGTGCCCCTCACGATAAGCAAATTGCCAGGGAGCGATGTCATGAATCTTATCCTTGATAGATTCAAGAAGGGCACCTCCCACCATCTTTGGAAGCACTGGCATAATCGCCAGCGGCCTTAGCAAGTTGAACCAGGTGACCAAGCTCTCCTTCGGAACCAATGCCAAATCACACAAAGTCCGCTGGGTGTCCATGCGCGCAGCCGCAATATGTAGGGGGCGATCAGCCAAGCACTGTCTCTTCCGCAACACGTCGTGACTATGGTCGAGCTGAAGACGATGAGGCATGACAGTGCAGAACTCACCGCGAAGATCACAATCAATGGCTTCTTGAAGTGTCCAAAATGGGTTCTCCACTTGCGTGCCCTTCGACGGTAAAATAATTGACAGAGGGGCGTCGCGAACTTCTTCGTTCTCTGCGCACTCCAAGAGACAGGGGCAGCATCGAGTACAAGAGTGTTGTAAGCCAAGTGTGAGGGGGCTACATAGATCGTAGTGGTCAATAGCTTCATTTGCCAGAGAGTCTGCAACCTTGTTGAAACAGCGACGGACATGACGGATGCGAACCCTTCCCAGCCGAGCGATGAGAGCAAGAGCCGATGATCGATAAGCCCACGTACGACTATCTAAGACAGACCATAGTCCCGCAAGCTGGTTAACGACTGGGTCACAATCACCTTCGATAACGAAATCAGATTGAACATCCTCGCTCCGATACCCAAGAGCGATCTCCAGGAGGAAAAGTAACCCATGCCATTCAGCATCAATCGAAGAGCTCCCAGGAGAAAGCCGATGTGAAAAGCGAAACATTTCCACCCCCATACCATCATATAGAACACAGCCACATCCAGCATTGTCCTCATCACGCCGAGCCCCATCAAACTGTCCGACCCAGGCTCTCCCATAAGCCCCAGGACCCATATCCCCAAAGTCAATAGTTCTTGGCATAGCTGAGGGGGCGGCGGCACCTTGCACGGCAATGGCCTGCAGCATTTCGGCAACAACCATATCTTCAGAGCAGCACGACTTACGAGGCTTAAGTAGCATAGTACACTTTAGGAGGTGAAATATGTTGAAGGTATTGTCTATCTTGAACTTGCCATAGATCCAGGAGGGAATGTTAAAGAGGTTGGAGCGAGATTCAGAGAACTGCTTGCTATAATACTTCTGACCAACATCGACAATCTCCGACGGGTTCGTGATGGACCGATCTTCTTTTTCAGGATCCCTCAGGGCCAGTCTGCCTGAGGTGCCAGAGGCCTTCGTGCCCCAACCCCCGGCTCGCAAGTTGCTTAGAACAGCCTGAGACGCCGCATGAAAGGTCGCGCAGCCGCCGTCTCTCAGCCCATACTTTACGAGCGCATGCAATCTTCTCAGCCTGAGTGGGAGCCTGTCGCCAAGCCGCCTCCAGGGCATGAAGAAGTACACGATCCTGACGCGCAGCAGCCCGAGCACTCATACTCTTCCCAGTGTTGACTGCAGCCTTCCGAATGGTTCTCGAGAAGTCCTCCAGCGTCATATCCGAGGTGAGTGAATAAGCTATCCCTGAAATATACTCTTCAGGTTGCTGAACTCGCCATCCGAGAGGTTTCTTCTCTCGCCAAACGCGTTCGTGTTGACATTCTTACTGCGTGATGAGCATGCGGTGGTCCGTGATCGTCGCAGCAGTGTCCAGAACTTTAGTATGCCTTACTCTTGCCCGACATGCTTAAGAAACCATAAAGCCATCAATGAAAGAGCCGTGGTACAAGGTCTGGTCCGATCCAAACGCATACCTGGTAGGTCCACCTCCCCGAGGACAAAAGGTGTGAGAGAAAGCCGGCCCGTACTGCATTGCTAATAAGAGAAGCCACTCTCCACGTTCATTTCGTGTGCCACCCGAGAAGTCCCCAAGATACGGATCCTCCTCGTGAAGTTCCTTAGGGCCAAGCTCAGCGTTAAAGTCAGCACACAAGATGAGAGTATCACCAGGCATATGATGTGTCGAGATGTAGCCAAAGATGAGGTTGGAGGTGTCATAGTAGCACTCTTCAGAAGAAGGTTGAGGAAGGTAAGTCGAGACAAAGAGAAACGATGTGTCCCTGATGGTGGCCCTCGCCACCGTCACACGAGGATGTATAGGTTCTGGAGCTTTGTGAACACAATGAAGGTGACGCCGATGAAATACAATAGCACATCCACGGTTCTGTAGAGCGCCTGGAGAAGTTATGACAACATGTCCTTGAAGTAAATTCGGTAAGTTCGTCAAGACCGCAAAGACCTCCTGCAAGAGTAGCACGTCCCACTCGCACTCCTCTGATATACTTTCTAGAAGCCCACTGAACGCATCAAGAGCCATCCCACAGCAATTGAGCGTAACGACATTCAAGTTCTGAATGATCTTCTTACCCCAAGATTTAGGAAGTCTATCTCTAGTCCCGAAACGAACGGCGCGCCTTGAAGTCCTGCTTGCTCTGCTCCACTCTCTGCTGGAACGTCTCGTCATCCTTAAGATCAGACTGCTGCAGCTCGGCATTGAAGTTGGCCAGGGTGAGCGTCGGCAAACCCATGGCGTTGATATACGCAACCTGTTTGCGCTGACCCATCTCATCATGAAGCCTGATCTCGCGCTGCGGAAAGACAATCTTGAATCGGCGCCCTTTGCCCTCAGCCTGCGAAAGCACAATAGCCATGTTCACCAGAGTCGATGTCACCTGACGCTGCTCCATCGACTGATGCTTCTTCATCCACAAACGAAGTCCAGGAAGCGGAGGGCCTCCATCACCACCAGGAGCAGGAGTATACTGTGCCTTACCACTGTCAGTGCCACCAAAGTTGTCCCGATCGACGCATTCACGATGCTTCCCCAATAGTGTCCAAACTGCACGATCATCACGACAATACACTGCTGTATGATTCCCAGGAGAAGCGCACCACTTACGAGTAATAGCAGTTGGGTCCACCATCGAGCAGATCTTGTCCAGGTAAGGTAACATCTCATCTTTGTCTGAAGCCTCAGGGAAGCCTCCAATCACGATCTTCAGGGCATCATCACCCATGGGCGGGCCAGGACGTGGTGGCCCAGCAACGGTAGATGCCGTACTCGCAGGCCTTGACCCTGCTTGAGCCTCCTGAGCGACTCGAAGAGCGTCCGCAGCCATCTTCTGAGCACTCTGAGCCGCCTCAACAGCTGCGTCCGCCTTCTTATCCACAGCCCTCAAATTATTTTGCACCTTCTTGAGTTTAGTGTTCACATTCCTGTCCATCCCCTTCATGTACTTGAGCAGGTCGGCATTCGTGATCTCTCGCGAGGGTGACCTGTCTGCACGTCGCCGATCCTCATCATCGGACATACCATCAGTAGACATAGCAGGAGAGCCATCAGCTCCGCGTTTAGACATGAAGCGAAATAAACCGACGGACCGTCCGCGCGCGGAGTGCGGCAGGCGCTGCTGATGCCAACAGTGCTTGAGCCGAGGAGGAGGAGGAGATCAGGATGAGGATCAAGCTCATGGAGTTCAGATTGCCACAACTGCCTATGGGGACGCCAGCTGCCGATCATTTGGGAACTCTGAGGGGTCTGGGAGAAGGGAGAAGGAGGAGGAGAAGGAGGAGAAGGAGGAGGAAGGATAAGGGAGGAGGAGGAGGAGGAGGCGGAGGAGGAGGAGGAGGAGGGAGGAGGAGGAGGAGGAGAAGGAAGAGGAGGAGGATGAGGATGAGGATGAGGTAGCGAGGAGGAGAAGGAAGAGGAAGAGGAAAAGGATGAGGATGAGGATGAGGATGAGAAGGAGGGAGGAGGAGGAGGGGGGAGGAGGAGGAGGAGGAGGAGGAGGAGGAGGAGGAGGAGGAGGGAGGAGGAGGAGGGTGTCCTTCGAGGG